GACAGAGTCTCCCTCTGTCGGCCAGGCTGGAGTGCGGTGGTGCAATCTCAGCTCACTGCAACCTCTGCCTCCCGGGTTCAAGTGATTCTCCTGCCTCAGCCTCCCACAAACTCAGTTTTTCAAGTGACCAACTTGCTGAATAACTGAGTCCCCAAAAACCTGTTAACTCAGGGTTTGTAATAATTCCCTTTGAATTTTTTTGAGATTAAAAAATATTCATTTAGCCAATGATATATATTCCAGGTATGTTTATACTTTGGATCTATGGCTTCGAGAATAACTTCTTATACATTTTGAACTTCAGGGTGAGACACATGTCAAGGGTCTTCGACACAAAAACGCTATTTTATTGGTTCCAACACCTATCCAGTTGACCATCTTTCCTGCATCTCTTAATTCATGGATTAATTAGCTGGCTTGAATGAAGTAATTTTTTGCAAATATTTGACACATGTCCTAGATTTCAGACATCTGGCCTCCAATACCTGCTTGGTACCCTAAAGGTAACATCAGGGACTTGCCCTTTAAATGTGGTTTTATACCAATTTGCCTCTAAGCCCTTTCTGTGAACTTAGTTTATAAGTGAGCTAATGAATGTTCATTGTCACACACCAATGATTACTTTCTCAAATTAAATTTTTTTTTCTTGAAGGATGGGAGAAAGGAGGAAAACAGATTTTTTTTTCTTTAGCCAAACTTGTCATATGTTTACAGAAATAAAAGTCTGTCTGAACTGGACTTAAAGGAGAACCTCCAATAAAGTAAAACTTGGCTAAAGCAAGAAAAATCTCCCAAAGGCTCTTGATTAGGACCTGAGCAACACGAATTGCTGTAGGTTTCATAAGCTGCCACGGGATGGAGACTTTGATAAATGAGTCATTCAGTGAGCTGACCACTTTGTCCATTGATTTTTTTGCGAGTTAGCTTTGGGTGGATTTATTTTATAACCTGTCCATGGTGGTGTGGGTTGGGGAGGTATATTGAGGCTTGGAGGAGTCACTGCAGAACAGAGGGAGGGGCTGAGTCACCTGATGAGAAGGGGTTGGTGGTGCTCATCAGAGTGAGTCGTCACAGGGGAGTCTGGAGAAGGACAGAGCTGAGAAGTGGCTGTGGGGTGCTCCCTCCTTGGAGGCTGAGGCAGGGGGAGGGGGGCTTCAGCGCCACCACTCCACACCTACTCCTGTCTCACAGCTGTTTCTAGCACCTGTTCCCTGGGGTGGGTGGGTGTGGTGAGGCAAGGCAGGGAGAGAGGTACCTTCGTTCGGCTGGAGTCCCCATTCGGTTCCCTCCACAAGGAGCCTCTGAGGCTGGCACAGACATCCCAGCTCTCCCACCAGGGCTGGGCGATTTTGATGTGCCAGGCCCGGCTGGCCCTGCCCCCAGAGGAAAGTCTAGCCTCAGGTCCATGCAGCTTTTGTTGTTGGAAAAAGGAGACCTTCCTATGGCACCTGGATGATGCCCACCCTGGAGAATCGCTGGTCAGAAAGGGAAGTGTGTGTGTGTGTGTGTGTGTGTGTGTGTGTGTGTGTCTCTCACAGGCCCAGTGTGGCCTTTGAGTGTGTGTGAGAGTAAGTGTGTGAGTGTTTCACAGGCCCAGTGTGGCCTGAGTGTGTGTGTATGTGAGTGTGAGTGTGTGTGTGAGTGGATGTGTGTTAGTGTGTCAGAGTGTGTTAGTGAGTGTTGTGTGTGTGTGCGAGCGTCTGTGTGTGTGTGCGCAAGTGGATATGTGGCCTGAAGGACGACTTGCCTTCTAGTCCCA